AGAAATGACAAGTGTTTGAAGATAAAATTACCCTGATTTGAACACAACACAGTGTAAGCAGGTTGAAAATATTAAATGGAAAATTCCAGAAATAAGCAATTCATAAGTTTCAAATAACACGCTTTTCTGAGCAAGCTGAAGAAATATGACAGTGCCCTGGTCCCTTCTACTTAAAATGTCACACACCCAGTTGTCCAGGATACCAAAGTTCATCTCACGACATTGTAATGACTGTGGTCAAGGATCACCCAAGGCAGCTACGTTACCTCATATATCACCTGAAAGCCTATAGTAGCCCACGGTGATGTCAGAAATCCTATGTCCTTAGCCTCACTTTACCTCATAATATTGGCATTGTATCATTTCACTGCATCATAAGAGGAAATATGCATACAGTGTAGTAAGATGTTCTGAGAAACCTTACTCTCCTAAGTTTTGTTAGAGCACCTTGTTATGATCTACTTTATTAGTAGTTACTGTCAGTTTCTTAGTATGAGTAATTTACAAGTTAATCTTTATCATAGGAATGTATATGAAGGTAAAAAACATAGAATACATGGTTCTTAGTACTATGCACACTTTAGAGCATCCACAAGAGCCTTGGAACAGATTCTCTGCCACTGGGAGCACCTCCGTATTCAACCTGCCATTTCATTGTTCCTGTATGCTTCCATTGTTTGAAATGACAAACAGCCCACATTGTTTCTTCCAAAAGCCATTATCACTCACTACTCCATTGAATGAGTTGGTGAAAATCATGGAACCTCATCCATAAATGTGTGGACCCACACATATGCTGTCTCAGTATGCCACAGGGGAGGTGCCAATGCACCCTCCCTTTGGTGGAAGGCTTACTGGTCCCATCTGATAACTGAGAAATGACCATCACCACATGGACTGGCTGCAGCATCAGTCTCTGACTGAAAAATTAAGAATGCTTAATTTCACTTATATTTTTATATTTAAAAAATAGAAGCAGGAGTGTCATGGTGAGTCACTGCTGCCTCCACAGAATGCACACAGTCTCACAACCAGAGAAACTATTGAACTGTTGAACTGTTGAACTGTTGAACTATTGAAACTGGAACTATTGAAATGACACCTGTGAGCCTGGTAGTTAAAAGTAACCATTTTGAAATTTATATCTGCATCTAACTCTGCTTCCCACCATTGACCAGATGTGTGACAAGGGTTTTTAGCCTCTCAAAATCTCTGTGTCCCTATTGTACAAAGGGTGTGATGAAAATATCTCAGCAAGATAGAGTTGCAGAGATTGAACTTGAGTGCCTTAGCTCTGTGAAAGCTCAGCTACCCCATTACGGAAGGTCGGTGACTTCTAGCTAGGCTCTGAAAAGCCATGTGCCAGACAATATGTTCTTACTTCTTTCCAACATTTCATTATTTTTGACTTTTTCAAACACTGCTGAAATGGCTACAAATAAATATAGTAAATTCAACATCAGTATTCCTCCAGTGGTTCAATCGTGGTAGAGGGCTTTTGTTTTGTTTGCTATTTTCAAATAAGTAAACGTCATAATGACATTTCATGCCTAAATATCTCAACATGAATCTCCTGAAAGAGATTCCTGCACAGCCGCAGTATCATCACACTTGAGAAAATTAACAGTAATTCAATATTCTCAACAACTATCTGTTCTATATTCAAAATTGCCCCATTATCTCAAAACTCACTTACAGCTGGTTGCCGACCTCCAAATCCAGGACTGATGCAAGGTTTTGCACATGACATTTGGTTGGTATGTCTTTTGGATTTACTTTTCATCTAGAACAGTCTTGCTGCCTTTATTGATTTATTTATTTACTTGGGCTCTTTTGAAGAGTTGAGGCCAGTTGTCTTATATAATGTCTTATTCCCCAGATGTGTCTGATCATTTATTTATGGTGTTACTTAGTCTGTTTCTCTATCCGCAGTACTGCTGTAAATTGGAAGTTAAGTCAGAAATTTCATGAGATTCAAGTTAAGTATTTGTGATAAGTTTATTTCTCAAGTGAAATCTCCAGATAAAAGTGGCTGAATGCTCCTTTCTGCTCTTTGGATTTCATGCATCCATTTTCAGCAGTTATTCTGCCCCATCACCCTTCTTCCTCTTTTCTGTAACTGGGCAACTACATTAGGGTGGATACAGGGAATGGTGCCTGACCTATGGAGTCAGGTCTTCATGGGCTTTAAACTAAGAGATAGATCTCCACAAAAATTGGTAGTTAAAACTGTCCAAAATAAAAATAAACTCCAGATAAGTTCTGAAAGGTAGCTCAGATTTTTCCTGTGAATAGATATAGATATATATACATATATATATGTATATATGTATCAAGTTCCTATGGAATAATAGAAGTTGATCTTTCAGAATGTATCAATAACATAGGTTAAAAAATTAATACTTGCCAGGTATGGTGATACATATCCTTAATCCCAGCACTCGGGAGGCAGAGCAGGCAGATATCTGTGAGTTCAAGATCAGTCTGGTCTACATAGCAAGTTCCAGGCTGGCAAGGGTGACATAGTGAGACCCTGTCTCTAATAATACTTATCCATCACAAATACTACTATCACATGACATTGGGCCAATGGTAAACACCATTTGCAAGTGCTGTGAGTAGTTCATCCTAGAATAACTCATTTGAGAAATAAACTTGATTTTTGATCCCAGGTCTCCTTTTCCATCAGGCTTGTATTTTTTACTGATTTAGGACTCAGCATTTACTATCCATAATATATTTGTTCTGAAAGTACTTGTTAACATAAAACTTGGTGAACAGCTTCATGTTCTTAGTTTCCAGAAAATAAAACAGAAAGTCAAAGCTCACATCTGGAGCTACTACAAAACAGTTCCGTGTAATTCAGAAAAGCAGTTACAGTATTATTCAGAAATCAAGAAGTCAAATAGGACAAGGAAAAATATTTCTAAACAATGTGAGAATTGAAAACTTTCCTGACACTGAAAATAAACCACCGTCACTCAGCATGCTTTAGAATCACAGGCATGTTCTTTCCCAGTGGCTAATCAGGGCAGCTGGTTCGGCTGTCTGACTCAGGTGAACCACCCAGTGTCCACGCAGAGTGCTGAAACAGCATTTACATTTCCCATGACTTCTTTGCTGCTGTCTCCATGAATTTCACAGTGAAAATGAGCAGCTACCAAATGCCAGCAAAAATATGCCCTGCTTATAAAACGTGCTCTGGTGAGCATTGGGGGGCAGCTGCACCCCCATGCTCATGAGGGGCTCTTCATGTAGTCCACTATAGCTCCGTGGATCTATCTACCCTTTTCAAGATGCAGGGCACACGTTATTATGATCTCTAATTACCCAGTGCTTGCAATATTGTCTGTGAACGTGTAGCAGATTGGGACAAAACTATTATCTCTCCTGGAGAGCTGGCTCAGTGGTTGAGAGCAATTGCTGCTCTTCCAAATAACTTGAGTTCTGTTCCCACCACCCACATCAGGTGGCTCACAACCACCTGTAACTGCAGTTCCAAGAGATCTTATGTCCTCTTCTGCCCTCTGTAGACACCCCCAAACACATACACACATAAATAAAAATCAATAATACTATTATTTCAATGGACATTTATCAAATACCTGCTGTGTGTGTGAAGACATATCACTAACTCATTCTGGGCTTTGCCAGTTTTTGTATTATGACTTTAGCATCTTGGAGTTCACCAGGTCCCTAACTGGGATGACTGGGTCACTCAACCATGTCTAACCACTGAGAATGAGACAATTTCCAAGCCTATCCCTACCTCAAGAAGCATAGGGTCTAGAAGACACAGAGGAAGCTGCTGACCAGGAAGTGAAGAGGGCCACATGTGCCATCAACCTGGTGGACCCTGGGCTGCACATAGAGTTTGAGTTTGAATCTAACTGGGGGCCAGAAGAAGCAAGAATTCTGATATCAAGGTATCTACAGGGTTCGTTCTTGTCATGACTATAGGGAAGGATAGTTCCATGACTTTCCCCTGGGCCTTCACATGGCCATTTCTTCCTGTGTCTGTCTCCCCATACCATCTTCCTTCCCCCTCTGCATATCTCTGTAACCACAGTTTCCATTTGCATAAAAACTTAACCATCATGATTTAGGGTTCATCTGAACCCTTACCTCTGTAAAAACCCCACCTCAAAATCATATCACATTCTGGGGTACTTTGGATCAAAGCCTCAAAATGCTCATTTATGAGGACCCAATTCAACCTGTAACTGATGTATTTTATTGGTCCACGGGTTTTCTCCATTTGCAAAGAATAAAGGCAACCAGGATACTGACTGCATGAACCTAGATGTTCATGATGGATTTAAAATGGCATCAAGTCCTTGCCCTCCCCTTCCCACAGGTAAGAAGTCAGTGTTAAGCCTGAAAACTCCTAACAGGCATTAAATCCCTCTGGCCTTCTGGCCCTTGCATTGTATGTTCATAGTGAGACTGACTGACCTTCCTCTTTGAATGCTGGAAATGCTGAGGTGAATTGAATTTACTGTTCACCATCCAAATGTATTCTGTTGAGCCTATGAATTGTACTAGAACAGAGATTACCAACAGCTGGACTTGGGACAATATTTATTTATTGCAGAAACAAAGTAGTCCATTGGGAAACATGTTCTATCTCTTGGTGCATTATTTTGGAGAGTTTTTCTGAAATTCAGGGAAATGAATTCTAAAGCATGTATTTAGGGAATTTGAAGGATTTTCAGTGGGAGAGTGACCCAAAGCCAGATGAGATATTTCCTTAGTTTATAATTCAAAGAAAGAAGAGGGGAAACAGAGAGCCAATGACCTGAGCATTCCCTACAAGGAGCTAGAGGAAGGTGGAGTCTGGGCTTTCCTGGGCAACGAGCCCTGTAGCAGTTTCTTTGTTAAAATGGTAGCTCATGCCCCTTGCACCACAGGTCTGTATTCTCCACTCTGTTACATCCTTGTATAGAGACAAATAAAACCTGAAGAGGATCCTCACTCCCTTTCCTTGGTTTCTTGATCAGGTCACAGACATAAAAGAGAAACTGAAGCTTTCTAAAAAGGTCTGGTCCACGTTGCCCTACACTATCTGCAAGGATGAAAGCGTGACAGCAGGCACATCCAACGAGGAGGAGTGCTGGAATGGACACAGCAAAGCCAGGTGAGGCTCCTAGATGCTTGGATATGGGCACAGCAGTCCAGCTCTGCAAGACTCTCCTGGCATCACTGCAGACCTGTCTGTGCAGAAAGCAATGGTGGGCAGAGGTGCACAGTGTCACTCAGACACAGCTGTTGAGAGTGACAGGTTTGATGGGCACCTCGGAGCACTTGCTCTCAAGGTGCCATTAAGCCTGGAACTTGTTCTGAATGCCTCACCTCTGCATGAGGACAGAAGGATGGTGACAGAGGCCAGCTTACATGTAGCCTGAGATCACAAAGAGTCCTTTTATGTTCACTTAATGACTTTAAGAGAGCAGAGCTATTTTTATCCATAGTTTAACTTGCAGGGCTCTTTTTACTTTTTTATCCTAAGATAAGTAGGAAATGAACATTCAGCTGTTCATTTTCATACTTGGAGAAAAATTTAAAGTGTTTGATAGAAAGGTAAAAACAGAATGGCTAAGGGACAAGTGAGGAGGGGACCCAGTGGGCCCCATGCCTTGGGAAGGCCCCTGGGAACCTTCTGAGGACTCTGTTTTCATCTTCTTGCTCTGCTGACCAACATTGTGGCCACTTGATAAGGAACGTCTGAATCTGTTGATTCAGCTTGAACTGGGCTTGGCCCGAGTTTGCCTGGGGTGGAGAAGCTGGATGGGGAAACTGGCCGATATTGGCAGAACATGAGGAGAGGAATCTGCCAGGGCTTCATCAGTGCAGCTGCAGGTGGGTGAGGCAGCTGGAAAACTGGAGTCAAGGAATCTTTGGGGGCTGACCAGCAGGTGGAGAAGCTGAGAGGGTGTCTGTTTGGGGGTGGAGGGGCTTTATTTGGCAACTTTAAAAGAAGGCAGCAGCTATCATCCAAAGGGAGAGAGAAGGTGTATAAGAAACTAGTTCTGGAGACCTAGCAGAGAATGCAGGTCCTTAGGTATTCTTCCCACATTGCTGTTGGTGATGATGTTGCTAATCTTACTAGCAAGGTGAAACCAGGACACCTACAGAAAGATACAGAATCAAGTTGCCCAAAATACCACCATTTAAATGTGAAATCATGAGACTAGAGTAGGAAATTAATGATATCAACAACATGTCACTCAAAAATGCTGAGTGCTTTACAGTCATCCACTCTTTTAAAGGAGACTTCTGGACAGAAAATTTAGCTGTGAGTTAACACTTTTAAATACATCACTTCCCAAAGATGCTACAGAAAGACACTGGGAAAGATGAGCAGGTGGCCTCCGGAGCTGCTCTGCTCACAGGTTTGTGTTTACCTTTCAGCTCTGGCTGAAATAGAAGCTGTTGTGAACTTTGTTCCCATGGATAGTCACACAGGTTGCTGAATATTTGTACATATGTGATTTCTTACAAAAGGGAATATAAAGGATGTTCATACTTATGGGCAGGGGAAGGGACTATACTCTACCAAGAAAATTAATGGAAACATAAGTCACTGTAGTGAGAGCTACCAGAGGTCAGGATGATCTAGTCAAGTTCATCTTTGTGAGGTCAAAGCACTCAGATGAGGAAGATGACTAGTTCCTGGCACCCAGTTTACAAGGCTGAAATGCCAGGCCACTCCCTCATTAGCCCAGGATTCTTTTGCCTGCTAAACAGAAAACAGCCAAATATTCTCCTGTTCACGTTTTAAAAAGTAAATGAAATGGGTGCTTGGCTCTATAAAAGATTGAATGGGTCTATATAATTCACTCACACCATCAGCAATATTATTGAGTATCCCCAGGTACTGTGATAGGCTCTGCTGATTAGATGGTATAATAAGACTTTTTATCTTTTCTTCTTTCTTTCTTTCTTTTTTTTTTTTTTTTTTTTTTTTTTGTCCTTTTTGAGACAGGGTCTCCTGTAGCCCCACCTGACCTGGAAATCAGTATGTAGACCAGGCTGACCTTGAACTCACAGAGATATGCCTGCCTCTGCCTTAGGAGTGCTGAGATTAAAACTGTGTGCCACCACGCCTGATTTTAACAGAGCTTCTTATACTGTTCCCATTCATGACCCATTTTGCCTGAGAATTTTGATATGGCACTGTGTAGGTATATAATATACATACACAAGAAAAACATTTACTAATAATGAGTCATAAATTTATTTTTTAAAAATTATTTAGAATATATACAGTTTGGGGGCTGGAGAGATAGCTCAATGGTTAAGAACACTGAATGTTCTTGCAGAAGACCCAGGTTCGAATCCCAGCATCCACATGGCAACTAATAACTGTTCATAACTCCAGTTCCGGGGGATCTGACACTCTCTTCTGACCTCCGTGGGCATTGCACGACATGGGTGCATTTTCATACATGCAACCAATATATACACATACACATAAAATTAAAAAATAAAACATAAAAAGAATATATGCAGTTTTATCATTTATTAAAAGGAAAGCAAATTAACCTACTAATTAAGATGGATGTGCTTATTTACTTTACATAAAGAATGAAGCTTTGCTGGATATTTGATACAGCAGGATGTAGAGCATCTTTCAGAGATTTTTCAGAGTTGATCCATATTTTAATTTTATAATCATTAGTGCTGAGAATATCATTTCATATAAATATGTAGTACACACTAACAAAAATATGTTTAGGACCATTTCAGAAATTTGTGGAAATTCTGTTTTAATCCCAAGCCAAAACTCATGTAATGATTATTTTACAAGATTCAAGTCAGCAACTCAAATAACAGTTTTTAAAAATCAAACGTTATAACACAACACAATGTAAAGATAAACAAATCTGGTATTTGCATCTGAAGAATAACCATAGAGAAATATGAAAACCTTTGTTTTCCATGAGTAAATCACTATATTTCTATACAGTAAAATGTGAAAATTTTGCAAGTGCAATAAAAACACTGGAATTTGCAACACACACTAGTTTTGAATATTGGCCATGGTATATTGAGTAACACTATTTGGCATCACGTACATAAGGGCATGTGCACCGCAGTGTGTGCTTGTTATGTGTTCAGAACCACGGATTCAATGAAGCTGTGTGGGCCAACACATGCAAGCACTGCAGGCAACACCTAGGATTCATCACATCACACACCAGAATTTGCATTAATTATAGTCATTGTGTGCTCAGAAATCTTTCACTGTTGTCAAATTTTCCAGGACCCCCATGTTCAGTTACGGGACTCCATATGAGGTTGCAACCCACAGTTTAAGAAAGCTGGTAATGAATCAACACATGGAAAGCCGCAGTGGCTGCAGAGAGCAGTGGGATGAGATGTTTGGACCGTAGCTTTAGAAAAGGACTGCACAGTAGAGAAGCACCTGATTGCGTGCTCAAGAGCAAGACATGAATTTTATCCTGAAACCAGTAGGAAGCATCTGAAAGATTTTATGCAGTGAAGAAAATGGCCAAGTTGAATGCAGTGCATTCATTTCCAGGAAGATTCCCATAATGTTTAACCCAGCGCAGTGTACATTTTACTATGCAATAAGTGTGTTATTTTAAATGGCAGCGTTGTCAAATATTTATGGCTCAATTGTGTTCCCATTGAAAAATTACAGTTCCGTGCTTTCTTTCATTTTCTTTTTTAAAAATTTTTCTACTGGAAAGGAATCTTAATATTACAACTTTAAATTTACTAACTTAGTGCTCTAGTTTCGTTTCTGTTCCTGTGATAAAATGCCCTGACAAAAAAGCAACTTAAGGGAGAAATGAATTTATTTCAGCTTACAATTACAGGTTATAGTCTATCCTTGTGAAGAAATCAAGACAGGACCTTCAAATATCTGGTCGCATCATGTCCACAGTCAAGAGTAGAAAGAAACGAACTCATGTATGCCCCCATGGCTTGCTTGCTTCTGTTCAGGACACCCCTGCCTAGAGCTGGGTCTTCCCACATCTCTTAACTTAGTTAAGACAATCTCCCACACAGATAAACCCATAGGCCAACCTGATCTAGACAGTCCCACAATGAGACTGTCTTCCCAGGCCATTCTAGTTGTGGAAAGTTGATAATCAAACTAACGATCACACTTGGTAAATAGAAATCAATACACGGATTGTAGAATTATAGTGAACTGAAGCTATCATCTCATCCAGGTGTTAATGGATCTAGAATCACATTTGAGAAGTTTTTCACTTAAAGAACTTCTACTGAACTATTTTTAAAATTTGAAGAATACATTTAATGAAAGAACCTAATCAATGGGTCCTAAGTTACAATTAGAGAAGAGAACTAAGTTCTGGTGTATAATATACTGGAGAAGTGTCTATATCCAAGAATAACATACTGGACATTTAACAAAAAGCTAAAAGAAAGGATTTTAAATGTTTTATCATAAACAAATGATAGCTATTTAAGGAGATAAATACACTTACCCTATATGAACATTATATAAGTGTACATGTATCCAAATATCTCCTGAGGCAGCATAAACATGTAATTTTATGTGTTGATTAAACAAATAATAGTTAAGAATCCATATATAATGCAAAAAGTATTTTCTCACTTTAAAGTACGGATATTCAGATGACAGACATTTTTAAATGCTTGGGAGTGACTACAGAATAAAGGGAAAGAAGAAAGAAAAGTTATTCTTATCAACTGTGTGAAATAAAAGAATCAGAAATGAATCAGAAATAAAAGAATCATCATGTGTTAATGAATACAGAACAGAGGTACTCATTAGGACTGGTAGGGCATTGTGGGCCTGGCGCTTACAAACCAAATCCTATGTGCTGACCTCTCCAATAAGACAGGAGATTCTTCTATTCTTTACCCATCAGACTCCTTCAGATACATCTTCTGTTTGCACCCACCCAGCCCTTTTGTCATATCTATTTGATCAGGCCTGTCTTCCACCGTCCATATTTCTCCCAATTATTTTCTGACTCCTATCCCAGAAACAGAGCTGTTTCCATTTTAATGTTTCTGAAATCAAAATGACTCCTAAGTGGACATGTCCATTTACAACAATGATTATCTTATTTTTCCAAAAAGCTGTTATTAAATTGATGGTACCTGTTGAAA